AAATGACTATGGCAATCTTTAACAAAGGAAACAGGCTCTGTTGTGGTAGCAATGCCTTTTTCGCTCCCATTGCCTGCTGGTGGCACATCCCTCTGCCTGTGTCTTTGTTGCTTGGCAGTGGGTCAGCCTCCCCTAGTATGAATGGCCACATTAACCATCACAAATCCAGGGCTTTGGGCTTGCGATGGGTCTGTCTACACTGAGTTCACTATTACTTGGTTTGACTCCAGCCTGTCTTTGTATTACACACATTGTCTGCAGCCTACCCTGACCGCTACCTGTGTCTGAAATATGTTCATCATCCACTTCCTGCCCTGACCTTTGCCTGTCCCTACATTATGCTTTGTCTCCCACCAGCCCTGAGCACCATCTGCCTCTGGAGTTCACTACTGTGGAAAAGTCCACAGTGATACTCCTGAAGACCACATGTACTTTTTGCTATATCCCTGATCAGTGCCTCGTGCCACTTAGCCAGAGACTATATAATTGTGTATTAAGCCCTTGAGGCAATCAAGTTTTGGTAGGTCGGCTTGGCTTAAGAGAACAGGGGCTGCTATTGGTGAAACTAGACTCACTCATTAGATATAGTCTCTGAACTCTGGTACTGGGCAAGTATCAAGCTTTCACTCTATATCTCTTCTCTTTGTTCTATCTTTCTTACTACTCATGTGCTATGTCCAGCAGTATTCCCTCTAGCATGAATATATGCTATGTCCAGCAGTGTTCCCTCTAGCATTATTCTGTTCTTTTCTATAAACTACTTGTGTAAGGTCAACAGAAAGCCACTGCATTCTTCACTCCATTATGAAGTGGATTGAAGTGCATTTTATAATTTGATAATATGGCCCCAGCATGAATGGTATTTTTAGTTTTTATATAACACACTAAGCATGCCATACCTTTTTCAGGTTCTAGGTTTTATGTGTAGTCAGGCGAAGGTTCACTATACAAATGCCTGTTGTCAAATCCTAGCCTTTGGTAAAAGGATTAAAAAGCCTTTTATTTCCTAATTTTGCCAGTAGTACTCCACTTGTAGGGGTGGGTGAACTTACCCTCCCAAAGCCTGGCTGGAGGTATTTGTGTTCTAGTATAAAAATGTGGCAGTTTGATTCTGGTGCAGAACATGCCACTCCATATACAGTAAATAATTAATCGGAAAAGCTAAAGTTCCAGTTGAGCTCTGCTGAACTGTGAAAGAGCACCCTTCAGCTCAGTAAGCCGCTCAGCAGAAGCATAAGGGATGAGCACAATCCTTTATACAAAGAAATCCTACAAAGGTCCACCTTGTGCCCAGTGACACAATAATGGGGCTAGATAGGACACCAACCAGGCCCATGACCATGTGAGAAGATACGTTGTAAACCTGATTCAGTGATGTTTGCCTCTTTCCACTACTGTGCCAGTTGCTGCATTATCATGTGTTTATTAGCTAGAATACGATTTCATGTCACATATTTGTTACTTTGTGTAAAGAATTAGTGTGTATGGTATGAGCTACTAATAATAGTGAGATGTTGTGTAGTCCTGGAGCAGGTTTGTAGCCCGAGACGAGATAAACAAATCTCTTATGCGGAGACATTTTTGTGCAGCAAATTAATTTATGCAGAGTATTTTTAAGACTGCAGGAAATGAAAAATTGGAGGCATTAGCATTCATTTATCAAACTGTATTACAAAAATTTTAATTTGACATTTGATTGCTTCTGAGTTTTTGGGCCTTAAAATTGCCTAGATGTTAACAGCAGTAGTTTTGTTACACTTGACATGGACAAATAGATCCCTGTTCTGCAATATTAATCATTATATTTACGGTATGATTACAAATGAGGGTAAAGGAACTGTAACCTTAGAATGTATTTGTTTTAGTGAAAGAGCAGTTGATGCTTGGAACAGACTTCCAGCAGAGGTAGAGAGTCATTTAACAGTAAATTAGTTTAAACAAACTTGGGGTAACCATAGGTCTATACTACACTAAAAATCTACAAAAAAAGGGCCAGAGTGCTGTCACTTTTCTATGTTTCTATGTCACAAAGTAACATACCTGTGTAAAAAAAAAAAAGTCTCTGATGGATGCTGACTCATGGTTCATACTAGTTCTTTGGTATTGAAGCTTAACTTGTTCTGCCTAGCTGTATAACTTAAGTCACTGCTCTTCAACTAGTGCGGCACTATCTATCTGGCACTTCTTACACACACATATTTTGCTTCATGACAGATTCCCTTAGCAGCATGAACTTGTATTTTATTTTATTCTACCATCTCTGCTGCGAGGTATTGCCATGTTCATAGACCTTATAACCTTATATACAGTAGAGAGCTGTGTATGTTGCAGTGAGATGCTGGTTTCAAGCCAAAGTAAACAGCCAAGGGGTGCACCGGAGCATATGTAAATACGCAGACAGGACCTGTGTGAGAAAGCGCGTCCAGCCGGATCTGATACAGAAACATGAAGTGCAAACATAACATCCTCCCATCTGCACTGCTATTGCACACCTACTGTGTTTCACACTGGCTTAATGACCACACTAGTGACAGGAAACATCCCATTTAAAAGGTCAGGAACGTACTGAGAAACCTTAAACATTACTAGAGAGCAGCCTTAGTACTACCTGGATACTGGTGAATAAAATGTTAAATTCAGATTAATAAAGTAACTGTTGGTGCAAATATTTAAAAAAAAACTATCACAGACGGTACTCAACTGTGTTTTTAACATTTATGAGCTTGCCAGGTGTTCCAACATACACTTTCAGTACATTAGGCTGCTGCAGGCACAGACACATGTGTCACAACACTTTGTTCACATTAGCAAAGCTCTACAGCAGGGGTGGCAAACACAAGGCCCGCGGGCCGAATCCGGCCCGTCGGACCTTGTAATGTGGCCCGCACAGCAGCCACCTCATTTTGCCAGGTTGGGATTTCAGCAAGTGAGCCGCGCGGCCAGTCTGAGCAGGCATTACATATTCCACTTACTGTGCCGCTCCGTCTCCGCCCTGTCTCCGCCTCCACCGCCACCTCCTCTCTTTCTGCAGCCATGACGGCTTATAATGCCGCTCTGGTGCCCGCCTCCCCAGTCCTTCCAGCCAGCGATGCCGGCTTTTTTGCATGCCACTGAATGTTCATAGTGGCAGAGATTGTTGGCAGTTTTTTGGGCAGTTTTTTTCCCCCATCCAGCGGGCTGCGTTCTGTGCCTCTTCTTAATAAACTGTAAATTATTATTAAAACCAGTAGCAACTGAATGCTGAGGCAACTATTTATGATAATAAAGAGTAGATGCATAGTCCTATACAACCGGCCCTTTGAGGGTAACCATACTGCTGATGCGGCCCCCGATGAATTTGAGTTTGCCACCCCTGCTCTACAGCATCTCCCATTTAATAAGTGGGGTATGATTACTATTGTTCCTCCCCATATTAGAGAGGAACAGCAATTGGTACATGGCTTTATTCAACTGCTCCGTTTGCCCAGTGTTCTCCTGCCACCTCTTTCTTCCACCTGTCTAAATCTGCTCCTGCTTCCTCCTAACTTCTCCCTTCCAGCTACAATCTGCTCTCGCAGACGTTTTTAACCCCTTTGCTGCCTTTGATTTGCACTTGTTGCCTTCTCTTATACCCCTCTATATTTATGACCCAACTCCTGCACATGGTACTCTAGTTCATGCTTGTGCTGGCTTTTACCCTCAGGATGACATCCACTCTTGAAGCCCTGTCCACCTCCATCATTAACTCCTTTTTGCCATCCACTAGTCCCCACACCCCTAGTCCCCAAACCCCTTCACTATCATATCCAATTTATTGTGCCACCATCATTGCCCATCCACTCCACCGTCATCTCCCAACCTTCCAACATCATCAGCTCTCATTTTCCGATCTCTTCACGATAAGCTGTTTCATGTTCCCACTGCGGGACTGCACATACCCTACATGAAGAAAAAAAAAAACTGTTTCTGGGAAATAAAAAAAAGACATGCTCAGATATAGCAGCTCAACATCACAGTGCATGTAACATAATTCAAGAATACTGTTCTGTACCATTATACTAAATGGTACATTTCAGTTTTGCAGTTACATGTTGGGAATGAAGACTAAAGGCATCCACATACATACATCCGATCCTGTCTGTGAAAAATAAAACTATGTGTTGACAGGACATTAGCCATTTAATCTTAAGAATTTCATACACACATTTCACATGGACAATCTGATATATTTAACCTGATTTGTGGCTCACCTTAGCCTCCACCATAATTTTTTTTTTTTCCCTCTCCACCCTTTGGCTTGTGCTTGCCTGACTCTAAACTCACTGTGTGAGTCTACGTCTTCCCCTGTTCGCTGTAATTGTTCTACGTGGTACTTTGCCTTTACGTTACCGTTATATATTCTCTGAATTAGATATGAAGTGCCATGTAAATGTGATGTGTTGCGTGTATTTAATCCTGAAAACTAATAAAACCAATTAAATAAAAAAAAAAAAACTGCCAAGTGGGAGGATCTACAAAAACATGCTGGATCCCAGAGTTGTATAAATTACTGTATGGCATTCATTTTTATGTGCTAATATGAGTTGCAACAAACCACTGTAACACTTGGGTGACTATTCATTTGAAAGCTTCTGTGTGTGGAGACTTTCAATTTACATTTAAATTCTGAGCATGCCATGTCTTAAACAGCATGCATGCACATAATTTGCAAAGGCTCTGAGCATATAATTTGCAGTATAATACTAAAAGAAGTAGGCCAATTACAGGTGCAGTGATTGATGATTCTCGAAAATCCAGATTAAAAACTTTAGTTTGTTTCAGTGGTCCAACAAAGAGAATTGTGAATTTCAGTTGACATGTATCAGAGGAAGAGCTAAAATGGAAAAAAAAATTAAATTAATAAATTCCTAAATAGCTTATATAGCAGATGCTATACCTTTTTAAAAACCAGTGTCATTATACAAGGTTTTTGGTCTGGTCTATGCTACCTTGATAATTTTTTTCCTTCCTTACTTCTACAGTCTCTCACTGTGTGGTTGGCCCATGGGGTATATGGAGTGAGTGCAGCTCTCGTTGTGGGATTGGTAGCAGAGAGAGGGCACGACAAGTGACAGTGCCCCCAAGGAGTGGAGGGAGCCCTTGTCCGGACCTCAGACAACGCCAGGGCTGCTATGGAGATGACCCCACTTGTCATAGTTCCAAAGGTTACTGTACATATAATTTGACATTTTGGTTAGTAATGTGTCCATATCAGAATAACTAATGCATTATTTTCTCCTTTTTATAGAAGTGGCCAGGATATTACCTGGCTCCTTTAAAAGGTTATCCAAGGACCCTTGGAGGAAACCCTACACTATGACACCTGATAGACATCCAAGGTAAATATTATAAGCTTTGCTCTGCTGCAAGGTAACATCTCCTATATTTGTGTTTTAGAAATAAAATGATTGTTATTTTTGTTGTTGAAATCTTAGCTCAGAATTGGGAACTTTTGCTATGAATGGTATTGCTTAACAGTCTGATTACTTGTGGTGCTTGACGAACTAAGGATCAACAAGACTTAAGATTAAAGTTATTGTTCAGAGGTTAGCAATTTAGGTATAGCTAGGATTTAAGTTAGGCTAAGAAACTTGATTTTTAACTTGTGTTGTTATATCATGTTGCACATACGATCACCAATTACCTTTCTTCTTCTGCTTAGTACAGAAAATAGTTCTGTTTCTTTGGTGGTATGAAATGCCTACAAGTGTAGTGTGAGAGGTCATCCCTGCTGTTCCAGCTAGTTACAGTGAGTCCTCTTAATGAGCCAACACTGCCTGGCAGCCACAGGGGAGGTAAAAGCACCTAATACTTTCGTCTGCCTGCCAGAGATAACTTTTTAATAAAGGAAATTCTAAAAGCAAAAGGGAAAGGTAACAATAGCTGACAGGAAGGGAGTAACCACCCCACCTTAAAACATGGAAAGAAAGAGTTATTTCGGGGCACAACCTGTGCATTCTCCTGACCAATGACACCAGTACCAAACTTACCTGGCCAATATATGACTGTGAGAGTTCTCCATTGAAAATCTTCAAGAGTATGTCCAGGCATCATCCAAATTTAACTCCAAACCTCCCTCTCCTCCTCTAAATCAAGTTCCATAATTTTTTTCTTTTACTTTGTTCATGCAGCAAGAAAGAGCTTTTTTTATACTTCCTGTGACATCATTACTGAGCTTGTAAATTTCTTACATGGGCAGCTGCTATTAACACTGTTCCTACTGATGTAAGCATGACCTAGAACTGCATCTCCCAAGAGCCCTTTCTCAACATAGTGTGTGGACAGGCTCCTGGGAGTCAGGACAGCAGTGTTTTGCTGGGAAATAAATCAATATATGCATGTGGAGTGGGAGAAAGAGGGGTGGGGGATAGAGAGAGGGGTGGGAGATAGGGAGAGTTCTGTAGTCCAGCAGGCAGGACTGAAAACACCGATTAGGATTTCCGTGGTGAAAAAGCACGCTGGATTTCTGGTAGATTAGCAGGAATTTGTCTGTGCTTGCAGTGTTTTAAGGGTGAAAACCTGGGGAAATGTAGAGACATACTAAATATTTTTTCTTTATTATGTTACTGACATACACTTTAACACAAATCCTTTTGTAATATTTATGTTTATCTTAGTGAGGTCAAATTTAAAGATTAATATAAATAATTCCTAAAACCTTTCCTAATCACTGCTTCAAATTAAGTCCACCAAAGTTTAAAATGAAAAAGTGTATGTCAAGCCAAACACTTTGTTTCTGTCTGTGTTCCTGTTATGGAGTTACCCTTATTTCCTGTCTGGCAGTACAAAAAGTGATAGTAAATCCATGTCACGGGGCCCTGAATAGCTGTATATATCCGACAGCGGTTCTAACCCTTTCCCACTCCATCCATGGACATGAAATTTCCAATTAGGAATTTATTCCACTTTTCTTAGCTGGTATACAGTTAGGAAAAAATACCTTAAAAGCTGTGAGTAGGTCAAGTAATGATATAAACACTAGCCCTGCTCTAAGACTCTATAAAATGCTATGGAGCACCTGCAAATATAACATGAAAAAAAAAGCAGAAAAAGAGAAAAGTCTCTCTAAAAACACTTGATTGCACAATAACATTCAAAACATATAAAGCCATAATCATCCTTTCTTAGGTTTATGGGGACCTATAGCAAAATTGTGACAGAGCCCCCAGCGACCTCTCTCTGTGACACCTGGCATTGTCAACTGTCACATATGTCTAAAACAAGGACAGGCAGCAGGAGAGCAGTTAACAAAAACAGTACACTACTAGGGACCAGTGCGGTGGATAGAAGTTGCCAGATAAATGCAGCAGTGCAGAGAATTAACTTGTATCTTAATTCTCCAGCTAGATCACCAGTATGTTTCACCATCAACTGATCTTTGTTAAACTAAGCTCTCCCAGCCCTTTACCACCCCAGCTAACAAATGCTGAACATGTGGTTTAGTAGCTTGTAAACAAATAAATAGCTATATAATTTTCATTTTATATTTAATACATAATTGTTAGTTCTCCAATGCACAATATCACTATAAAGTTAATACAAACGTCTTTAAAATATGGCTTTTTTTCAGAATTTAAAACCTTAAATGGCATATCACTTTTTAGCTGAGACCTGGATTTTTCAGCCTCTGAATACTGTATTAGGTATACCGGGTTAACCTGGATGACCAAAAGCTCTGAAGGCACTAGATCTACTCACAGATGGGGATGGATTACTGATTTTAGTTTAAAGTATAACTTTTTTTTTGCATGTATTTACTGCCTGCTAGCAGTAGACATATGCAAAAACATAAAAAAAAAAAAAAGTTACCAAAAGGGTTTTACTTACCTGTGCAGTAGAGATCTTTGGCCGCGAGAAGAGGAGAGACTCAGTGTAAGTCAATGCACACAGCTCGGCAGCATGCACATGGACAGACTCCGTGGGACACTGAAGACACAGCAGTCAGCGCTGGATCAGATTATTAAAATATTTGTGACTTTAATGTCACTTTAATGTATGCGGTACAGTATTGTTGGGATGGATCGGTTGTTTATGAATGGCAGATCCCTACACCGGTCAGGAGAGGGAGCCTTGACTGCTGGAATCATGCAGTAAGGACATGGTCAGTATATGGCACCCTCCTGTATAGGGGGTGTAATCGATTATTAACTGGAGATAGCTTACAAAGGGATAGACAAAGTAAAGTGTTAAAAGTGGGTTTGCTGGCCTCTTGGTACTCGGCCAGCAAGAGGAACATCCCCGCAAACCCTCCCTACTTTTTCTTTGCTAACTTGTCACAGCTTTGTTGGCATGTTTTGGACCTTGCCAGCTTAAATCAGTTACCATGTTGACTTTGCTGAAATTCTTTGATGGCTGGACATCTGTCGAGAAACTGATGGTAAAGACAGATTGTCTGCGTTGTGTTATAAAGTTATGTTTGGGTGCTCACTGTTTATTTGTGACTGGCTTTATTATGCTAAATGTCAATAAAGCTGTGGCTAATTTGTCTAGTATTTTATTGGCGGAGGGCAAGAGTAAAGAAAGAAGGTTCAACGTTAAAGTGTTCAACTATGATTCTCAGCAGTCAAGTTCTTGACAATGGTGACTCAGAAAGCTCAGTCAGACTACACTAAAGGACCTTTGGGTCAAAGAGGAACTTTTGGCAAAGAGGAAAACCAGCAAGCAGCCTGCTAATAATAGCCTTAAAGCCACTCAGTTTACCTTAATCTGAATTTTATTATATCTATTGTAGCTCAATAAATCCTGCACTACTGAACAGGACTGTAGCCTCTGGTAATGTTTCCACACTATGGTAATTCACCGTTGTGGTCCAATGTTTGTGGGCGAGGATACAGTTGAGAGACAGGCCATTACTTGGGCCATGAAAGGCACTGATTTGTGCAAACTGAGTTTCTGGACCATTTCAAAGATAAGGATAGTGACAGTTATTGGGAACTCTTAACCAGTGCAGCTGTAGGCAAATGAATGGTAGCAAGATTAGAGCCTTTCAGTACGTAGGCTGTGTTCCTTGAGTCCGGGAAATGCAAGACATTCATGTTTGACTGAAATATACATTTACGTGGGAAAACATTGTGTACCTCCAAAGTGAACGTCTCTTTTGCAGCTGCTAAATGCTTTCTAAAAGTAAGCACGTCCGTCTTTTTCAAACAAATAAAAGTGTCTCCAATTTTGTAAAAGGGATGAAGAACAGGTGCACCGATGTACAAAAACAGTAATCACCCGAGGGACAGTTTATCATGAGCATGAAAAGGAAATATGTTTGGGGATCTGAAAGACTTTGTAATGTTCCTACTACAAAGGAAGTATCAGGCTTTCAGCTCACAATGTGGGTGGCGATGTTCTGCTCCTAGCCCATTTTGCTTCTTTTGATCCAGTTATTGAGTACATCACCTTTGCCAGCAAAAGTCTTTCCATGCTGTGCTGCCAGCATCTCCTGCTGTACTCTCCAGAGTGCAAAGAAATGTGTGTGTAGCTAATAGTCAAGGGGAAACATCTGCGACATCCCATGTTATCTAGTGATATGTGTTCTGCATTTACTAGTTGTCACGTACATGTAGTAATATACACTGATTTGCCAGGAAAAACACTTTACATTTTTATCCCACCAGTGTTTTTTGCTCTTATATTCAGTTATTGTGTCTACTTCCGTCTGAAACATGTGGGACCTGGTTGCCGCCTGCAAAGCTGGAGCAGACAGCTTGAACAAGAACAAATGGTGTGTGTAGAGTGTCAGGCGGAGGCGACTACTGCTAGTGGAAGGTGCCAGGGGGATGGTGTGGCAGGTGCCAGGTAAGTGGAACAAGAAGGTTAAGTTTCTTTTAACTATGTTTTAATATATCTCTGCTTACATCTATTTGCTTTTAGACTGTAAGCCCTCACGGACAGGGCCCTCCTTACCATCTTGTCTTAAATTGTATTGTGCCTGTAATGTTTTCCTTATATTGTAAAGCGCTGTGCAAACTATTGGCGCTATATAAATCCTGTATAATAATAATAATTTGATTTAGCCATATTATATGACTTACCAGAATATATCTATTCTGACATTTTACATTTTAGTCCACACAACTTTTTTGTCTACTGCTCCTCTGAGCCCGCTGGTGCTGCCACACTATGTTATATCACTTCTTGATTATTTTAAGTTTTCTTTTAAGTTTTAACTGTACCCTGCTGAGATTTTCATTAATTTCCTGTCCCAGAGACACAACAGGATATGAGATGAAATCTATTTAAGATGAGGGTTAATCCCCTCTTAGAAATTTGTCAGCCCCTGTGATAACCTGTTCAGTGACAAAACATACAATAACTAACATACAAACTATAAAATGTAGGATTTACTGTCACGATTAGTGAATGTGCTTGTGTTTAATGCACAGGATGTTTGGCAAATTTGTCACAAAGTTCACAGATTGCAAACGATATTGCGAACCATCTAGGAGGTCAATGGGAGGTACATTTTAAAAATCAATTTTGCCCATTTAAAGGCTCACAGTCAAGGCATTGTCTAATAAAAGGCATGGGGAGCTGGGCAGTGCCTGGGCTTAAAGTAAAATACAAAATTCCTTTAAACAACATGCTTGGGGATGTCCTAAACCTGAACATAAAGTGGCACATGTGTAGGATGCACTACAGTAAAAGTGACATTGCAGAAAAAAAAATACAAACCAGACCCTTATCAAGGCAAGGCACCTTGTCCTCAAGTTAGAGAACAAGGGTCTCATCCTCACATCCAGTCCCTAAGAGGAAGTGAAAGTCTGGGGGTTGGGGGTTAGATGAACTTATCGTACTCTGGAGGTCTCCTTTAAAATATTTTTCATTTCCCCTCTAGGTGAATGAGTAAGCGGAACATAGCCCCAGGTTACTTAGACACAAACACGCAAAAATGATAGTGACAAGTATTTTTCAATCTCCCTCCCATGGTGTCAATCACTTTGTCTAGCGATGTAGATCTAGCATCATTCATGATGAACAATGACGACAACACAAACACAATGAGGCGTGCTGAATATCAACAAGCTAGCCAGTGGTGCTGCCCAACGTCATTCGGCAGCTTGCTTACAATTTGAAACAAGTGGTTGGCAGCAGGATCATCGGTCGCTAGGACCCCTCTATAAGCTATCCAAAGCTAAAAAAAAAAAAAAAAAGTTTTGGCTTCAGATGAACTAACATCAGGTTATAAACCATGAATTTCCCTTGCTGTGGTTTAATAACCTTATTTGTTTATTCATTGCAGGACATTTTGGACAGTTGCATTACTCCCTAGATGTCAAGGCTCATGGATACAGGAAGACCTCAGAGAAGATTGCATGTGCCATTCATTCTCCTTCCTATTCGTGTGACCAGGATCATCACATGGGGCTTTTGGGCAGACACAACTTACCATGCCTGTCAAAGCACAAAGACAAATAGTTTACCTCTCAGATACCTACCTCTGCAATTTGCCTCTTGAAGGAGCCTGTCCTCCTTTTTTAATAATCTTACTATTGTTTAATAATATGTGAGTACATGTGTTTGGCAGTGATGTCATGAGGTCACATGTCTGATGTTTTCTCCGATTGCTGATTTATTAGTTTTATTTCTAAACAATGTTCATCAAGGGTAAGATTAGCTCCTAGATTTGGGTTAACCAGGTACGTTTAGAATCCTCGGGCTTCTTTACTGTACTATATAATTTGAGATGAAAAAGACCAAGACAATACAAATGAAGCACGAAGGAAAATGGAAAATGATAGCACCTTATGAATGTATAACCAAAATATGGGCAAAATATTGTTAGTTACCTGGCTGTTATGCTGACCCTCTGGGGTCAATACAGTCACTAACCAAGTACAATTACGCAAACCAAGAAATGTAGAAAATTGCAATTTGAAAGCTTGCTGCAGCATAATAAGAGGTAAAAAAAAAAGAAAATGGCAGCCATCCTGTTTCTCACATGACAGATTTGCTTCAAAGTGTAAATCCAGGTAAACAGCTAAATACACAAATTAATAAAACTATGAATCTCAGAAAAAAAAAAAATAGGAAAAACAGTTACATGTAACATAGAGATTATCATGAAGTGGTGCATTTATATGTATTACCTTATATGACAAGGATTAGTTATAATTAAAATTAAGTTAGTTAGTTATAATTAAAATTAAGTAGTTTTTACTTATCAGAAGAGTAAATATTCATTCTGAAATAGAAGCAAAAAAAGGAAACAGCCCCAGTCTGATTAACCTGGAGCTGGATGAGGCGAATTGGAAGGATAGTCTAAATGGGAAATGTTATACAGAATTGTAATAAGAAATTTAACTGTGAAATATTTCAAAAGTACAATTTACTGCAACTCTTATTTTCACCATTTTAAAGTGCATCTTACCAGTCCAGGCTTTTTCTTCCTTTATTCTAACCTAGCAATCATTTAACCCCTTGAACGCTCCTTCCTGTCTAGGCCATTTTTCAGTATTCAGCGCTGAGGTAATTTGACTGACATTTAATCAGTCATGTAATGTTTAAGTGTTGTTTTCACATGTAGGCGCACCTGATGCATGTTTGCATTTGTATGTGCGTGTAGGTGGGATTTAAAAAAAGGTTTTGTGATTTTAAATGTTTTTAGGTGTGATTTTAATTACCTAATTTTTTACACTTAACTTTATTGCCATCACATAGGGTCTAATATGTCTAGAGCTGCAACAGTTAATCGATTTAGTCGATTAAAATCGACGATTGAAAACGTTGGCAACGTTTTCGATTGTCGATTCGTCGGCTATCGATTGATTTACCTGTTCGGGGCTGTTCCGGGCTCCACATGCGGCCTGAGCCACACGTCACACGCTGCTCCCGCTGCGGCCGCCGTGCCCACGGCACAGGCCGCGTAAGCCACGCCCACCGCACAGGACGCTGAAGCCGCGCACGCCGCTGCTCTACTTCCTGACGCGATCTCCCTCACTCGTCGCTGGCCCGCCGACAATCGAGGGCCCACCTTCTGAAGCCAGTGGTGGACGGAGCTGCAGTGTGGAACAGGTGTGCGGGGATATAGTGGTGGAATAGGTGTCAGTGTGGAACAGCTGTGTGGAGAGGCAGTGGTGGAATAGGTGTATGGGGGTGCAGTGTGGACCAGGTGTATGGGGGTGCAGTGTGGACCAGGTGTCAGTGTGGAACAGCTGTGTGGAGAGGCAGTGGTGGAATAGGTGTATGGGGGTGCAGTGTGGACCAGGTGTATGGGGGTGCAGTGTGGACCAGGTGTCAGTGTGGAACAGCTGTGTGGAGAGGCAGTGGTGGAATAGGTGTATGGGGGTGCAGTGTGGACCAGGTGTATGGGGGTGCAGTGTGGACCAGGTGTCAGTGTGGAATAGCTGTGTGGAGAGGCAGTGGTGGACCAGGTGTATGGGGGTGCAGTGTGGACCAGGTGTATGGGGGTGGAGTGGTGGAATAGGGGTGCAGGGATGCAGTGGTGGAACAGGGGTGCAGTGGTGGAGCGGGGGTGCGGTGGTGGAAAAGGGGTATGAGGGTGCAGTGTGAAACAGGTGTATGAGTGTGATGTGGTGGAATAGGTGTTTTTTAGGGGTGCTGTGTTGGAACAGGTGTACAAGGGTGCTGTGTGAAACAGGTGTATGGGTGCAGTAGTGGAATAGGTGTGGGGGTGCTGTGGGGGAACAGGTGTACAAGGGTGCTGTGTGAAACAGGTGTATGGGTGCAGTAGTGGAATAGGTGTGGGGGTGCTGTGGTGGAACAGGTGTACAAGGGTGCTGTGTGAAACAGGTGTATGGGTGCAGTAGTGGAATAGGTGTGGGGGTGCTGTGGTGGAACAGGTGTACAAGGGTGCTGTGTGAAACAGGTGTATGGGTGCAGTAGTGGAATAGGTGTTTGGGGGTGCAGTAGCGGAATAGGTGTGGGGGTGCTGTGTGTAGCAGGTGTATGGGTGTGAAGCGGTGGAACAGGTGTATGAAGGTGCAGCGAGGAATAGGTGTATTGGCGTGCAATGGTGGAATAGTTGTGTGGGGGTGCCGTTGTGGAACAGGAGTACAGGGGTGCTATGGTGGAACAGGTACGAGTTACGCTACGCACGCCGCG